GAGGAGTGGCTGGTGGGTTTGAACTGCCAGCCGTCTGGTTAGCAGGCAAGTGTCTTAGCCACTATGCTACCAGAGCTCCTTATCATAGTATACATCTTTAAAATCCTTTTCTCTCTCCATAAGTTCTTGAGTTTGAGTTTTGGTTTCCTCTGGTCATTAAGGGAGCTCTGGTGCTGTAGTGTCTAAGGCATTTGACTGCTAACCAGAAGGCTGGTGGTTCAAACCCACCAGCCACTCCTCAGAAGGAAGATTGGGCAATCCACTTCCGTTGTGACACTGCCTTGGAAACCCACTGGATGGCAGTGAGTACTGAGTCTGGTCGTTAAAGAAAGACAAAAAGAGCATTTTCTTACCCTAAATAGAAGTCATACTTCTCCCATATTATCCAACTAACAGATTAGTCTGATACATAGAAAGATTTCAGGTATAATATTATTTTACTGTTCCCCTGTCTAAAATTTATCTCAGCTAATGTCCTGTGTCAGTTCTATTTTAAGCTCTGATATAAAGGCTGTCATGGAGCAGTTTTTTAAAATTGGGGGTTGGGGATCCACTAAGTATTCCAGTTTCTCCTTCTGGATTGGAATTAATTTACGCACTGACTTGACTGAACAGCCTCTTACATTTCACCTTTGGAAAATGGCTACTTCTGCCACCAGTGAACAGTAGGAGCATGGTGGGGCCAGGTAGCAACCCTGGTAGCACAAGTTGGCTGTGTTCCTTCTTCCTTCTCTCCCCACTCATCCATTCTAGTTCCCCAGGAAGTCAGTGACATCAAATGGCATAGCCCTAGGGGAAGCTGAGTTTGCATACCTCTTATACCCAAAGTGAAAATTACTGCTTTTTTCTTTGCAAAAATATGAGACAATGCCCAGGACAGCCTAGGATTGAGAGAGTGTTAGAATTACAAAATGTTAGGTCTTAGATCATTTCCAAATCAGTACTGTAGTTAAAAAATGACAACAAATGAAGCAAACTCACTAGATTTTGCTTCATTTAAACTGAATGTTTCCAACCAACAAAGTAACCAAAGGCAGAGTCTGGTGTCTAAAGGGAAAGTGAAAACTTGATCATGGTGAAGACCACAGAGCTGCTTCTTTAGGCTTGCCCTGGTTGCTAAATAGGAGAGGTGTGCTACACAGAAGGCTGAGGGAGGCATAGAGGGTGGCCATTTTAAGGAGCCAAGAAATTCCTTTAAAAAATCAGAACATCTGCAACCAGATAGTTGATTTCCTTACTGGGAGGCAGTTCCTGGCTAACAAAGAGGAAGCATGACAGGAAGAAAAGTTCACTTCAGCGGAAGCCAGCTTGCTGAACAGAGCTGATAGCACAGAGGACTAGGAGGGGCTGCAAACAAGACCCAGCATGGCATTAAGTGTCA